ACCGGAAGCTGTCTTTCCTGGGGTTTCTGCAAGTTGCCGTGCAGCCCTGCCCGAGAATTTCACCTGAGTCTTCTTCCAGAGATGCTACCTACGTGCATGCGCATCCGGCGGCCAGGGCGCCCCCTGGCCTGCTGGCCCCCAGGGATGCCCATCCCCGGCTCTCCAAGAGCACGCAGCGTGCTGTGCTCGCCGCGCCTCGGGCTCGCACGCTCGGCCCAGGCCGCAGCCTTTGCACGCTGACCTCTGTCCTCGGAGGAGAGCTTTCCCGACCGCCGGAGCTCAGGGAGCCCTTGCTGTGGTTGCTCTCCCCCGGCCCCCCGCCACCCGACTGTGCTTCCCTTGAATTCCTCTAGCACTCCCCTGGCCTTAAACCGCAACGCGTGTTTTCTTTATTGCGCTGTCTTCTCCATTCGGATGTAATCCCAGGGAGGGCGGGGAACAGGGGTGTTGCTTTGGTCCTTGCTTTTGGCCGGGGCAGTAGCGGGGGGTCAGGTCCTCCCTGTAGCCGACCAGCTGCATGCGTCCCTGACCCGTGTGTCCTTTGCGCACGAGAACAAATCCGTAAGTGTCACCTTGTATCCCCATCTTTCGGACACGAAGGATAGCACCCTATGGCTACGGCTCCGCCCTTTGTTTTTGGCTGAACAGGATATTCTGGAAACACTGTATCAGTTCACAGAGATCCACGCTTTTTTTTTTTTTTTGCACATGTGGTTTTTTTTTCTTTTTTTTTTTCTAATTTTATTTTAATTATTGTTCCAGTACAGTTTTCTGTCGAGATCCACGCCCTTTACTTCCCCAGCAGGGGGTGGCATCATACATGCATTAAGAACACAGACCTCAAGTGTGTGGTTTGTGGGGGTTTTCATATGCTGACACGTGACCACGTGGGACACGTTCGGCACCCCGCTACAGCACCTCCTGCCGTTTTTCCAGCTGTCCCCCGCAAACCCAGGGTAACCAACCGAGGCTGTGATTCCGTCACCACCGGCCAGTGCTGCGTGCCCTTGACCCACACCCACTCTGAGTCACACAGCAGAGGCTCCTCCTCCTGGTTGGGTGGGTTCCCCATCATGTCTCACCCCCGTTTCACGGGGCACCGCCCCGCTGCGGGCTCGGGATCCGACAGCTTCGTCCTCTGCGTCATGCATGCACCTCGTGCAGGCCTGCTCCTGGCGTGGCGCGAGGCAGCGTCTGCTGACAAAGTTCCTGTGCCCGAGCGGGGTTTCAAACCGGACCTCGCTCCAGCAGTCTCGGGGTCTTTCCACCGAAACCAGCTTGAAAGCGAATCCCGCCCAACAGCTTGAGAACAACACGTCGCCCGTGGGTGGGGAATAAATATCCGCAGACTGGATCTCTCTGTCCACCAACACTGTTCAGTGGAACCTGTGGCATCCTGCTGAGAGGTCTGAGCTCCGTGAGGCGCCGGGGCTGGGGGGGATAGGATGCGCATGCCCTTCGCCACCGCGTCCTGGTCCGCAGCTGGTGAGCGCGGGAGTGATTCCGGACCAACGGCCAAGCAATAAAAACAGGCGCACAGCAGCGGCGATCGCCGGTTCGTTCCTTATTCCTTACTCATTCACGAGGCTTTCCTTCTCGTGTCTATCAGGTGGCGCCTGGAGACGTGGGCGGGGTCTCGCTGCAGGGCGCGGTCCCCACCCTCCGGGCTGCCCATCCGGTGCCAATCAATGCATTGGCTTGGTTTCCCGCCTTCCCTTCATTCTGCCCCGCCCCCCCTCTTTCCCTCCCGGGAATGGACTGACTCCCAGCGGATGCAGACCTCGGGGGTTTGAGAGTGCGCCGCGCGTGGCGGTGGGGGCTGCAAACACGCACGCCAAGTTTTCCCCCGCCGGCTGAGGCTGTCTGACGTCCCCTTCCCCCGCCACCACCCATGGGGCCATCCGGCAGCGCAGCTGAGCGCCCGGGGCGGGGAGAACACCTGGGGGCGGAGAACGGTTGTAGGCTGAACAACCCCCAAGACCCACGGGCCGAGTGGCCCGTCTCGGGAGTGAACACACTGTGATTCCCCCGACCCCCCGCCTTGGCTGGCTCTCCGCGGGGTCTGCCGCGGACAGACAGCCGGGAAAACAAAGCCGCCGGCGTCCTCAGCCTGAGCTGGTGCTGCGGGACAGAGAGGGTCATCGCACGCCGGGAAACGGACATTCCCACGGGGCTCCTGTGCACGTCGCTCTCGTGAACGCTCCCACCGAACACAGGGTGACTCTCCACGTAGTCATAGACGGGTTTCCAGTTTCTTTTTTTTAAGATTTTATTTATTTATTTTTAGAGAGGGAAGGGAGGGGGGGAGAGAGAGAGAGAGAGAGAGAGAGAGAGAGAGAGAGAGAGAGAAACATCAATGTGCAGTTGCTGGGGGCCGTGGCCTGCAACCCAGGCATGTGCCCTGACTGGGAATCGAACCTGCGACACTTTGGTTCACAGCCCACGCTCCATCCACTGAGCTACGCCAGCCAGGGCTCCAGTTTTTGTTTTTTTAAAGATTTTGTTGATTTATTTTTAGAGAGGAAAGGGAGGGAGAAAGAGAGAGAGAGAGAGAGAGAGAGACGTCAATGTGTGGTTGCTGGAGGCCGTGGCCGTGGCCTGTAACCCAGGCATGTACTGTGACTGGGAATCGAACCTGCGACACTTTGGTTTGCAGCCCGCGCCCAATCCATGGGTTTCCAGTTTTGATTCTACCTGCACACTCCCCTCCCCCACCCCCCGCTGGCCCCCACTCCGCCCCACAACTCCCCTCTGGGAACTGGCCTCACGTGCGGAAGGAAATTCCGCAGCGCAGCGGTGATAACCTCTTGCAGGCGACCTCCACTGGTTACGGGGAGAAATGTCCCAACTTACAAGGGAAAACACAGTCACCTTGAGAATAATTAATTTCTGCGACCAAGAACACACACACATTAGTGTGGTCGCCTCCGAGAATGAATCTCCTCGTCCTGGACGGTGTGTCTTTCTTCCTGGAATGCTGCTGACTCGGAAAAACATAATGAACACACGAGGCACAAAACCGATCCAGAATCGTTGCGCTGCTGTTTCAGAGCCAGCCCGCGAGAGGAAGGAAGTACTGGTTTGTAAACACACTGCCATAGCTCATGTTAACTTCTTTTTTTGTGCGGGACGTTAGAGGCACATTCTGAGACACTAGTACAGCAATGCCTAGGAGACATCGGGGGCCTGGTCGTGGACCCCGCAATGCAGGGAATATTGCCCCGAAGCGCGTCATGATCTCTTTGCTGGTGGGGGGTCTTGCCTTCCACTTACCAAAAAACAGAAATCGCGATGCCCGTGAAGTGCGCTAGAGGGAAAGTCAGTGGAACGAGGGATGAGGGATGCCTTGTGTGTGTTTTCTGGCGGACTCGAGACTGAGCGGCCCAGTCCTCCTGCTGGGCAGGAGGATAACGAAATAGTGGCCGAGCCTTCCCCTCCTGCGGCCGTCCTCTGTGGGCGCTGAGGGGGCTCTGGGCGCTTGCTCGCCTCTCTCGCTGTTCCCACAACCGTCTGAAGCATGCGCCTCGAGGGGGCGCAGTGGAGGCGTCGTAGGTGACCACCCTGTGAACGGGCAAGCCAGGGGCCGCTGGATTCGAGCGAGCTCTCCTCTGCCACCACCGGCTCCTTTGCAACCTCGCCGCTCCGCAAGGAGGCGGAGCCTCTTTCCTCCGCCCCGGAGGTGAGTGGGACACTGGGGTCACCTCGCAGCGGTGCTGTGGGTGGCGCTGGGGAACTTCCACAGCAAGCGAGGTCACGGGGATTCAACGGTGCCTCCCCTTTTCCCTGAACGTTTGCTCTGGGGACCCAGCCACCCTGCTGGGGGCAGGCCCACATCCCTGGAAGGGGGCCCTGTGTGAGTTCGGCCAACCTCGTGGGGCAGAGACCTCAGCCACCCACCAGCATCTGCCTCCAAACCCCGGAGTGGGACCCCTTGCGTGTTCCTGACGGCCCTGGAGCTGCTCCAAGGTCAGGAGCAGGGGCTGGGTCTCCTGCCCCCGAGAGCAGAGAGAGAGAGAGCGAGCAGCAAACTCAAGTCCTCGGAGGAGCCCACCTCTCATGACCTTGGGCTGTTCCAGGCGCTTTCCGCGGGCTTTGCAGAGAGCTTCCTGTGGCGACCTGCATTTGGGCCAGAGGACTGCAAGGAGGAGCTGGACAGCTGACCGGTTCAAGGTGAAGGACCACGGGAGGAGATCCTTCCCAGGCCGTGGGCCAGCAGTTGGTGAAACGTCTCTGCTGGGGCTCCCCGGCTCTGAGTGCACGGGGCGTTTCGAAACGACGCAGAAGACAACGTGTTCTGAAATGTGACCATCAGATTAGACGGGTTTCCGGAAGCAGGTTCTGTGGCGGGCTCGGAAATGCGGCCCAGGGGAGTGTTTGGGAGCACACTGTGCTCGCTTGGCGGTGCGGAGGCCAGCTCCCAGCCATCTCAAGGTCATGGGTCAGATAAAGATTCAGTGAGCTTTGTCCCCGCTCAGGAAGCAAGTTTCTGAGGGTAGAAGCTGAATCGCATTGTTTGGAATCCTTTGGAACTTGGGAAATGTGCATCCGCGTATGCACAGAAACATTATCTGTGTCCATAAAATGATACAGAAGATACAAAATACATGGAATGTGTTCTGTGTATATCCATATACAGTGTCACAAAATTCCATATATATACCATCCAGTTACATTCTGATAACCAGATAACGTGTGTGATCTATGTTTTCAACCAGATATATACTGTTTACAATGTATAAACATGTATCAAAGTATATCTATTCAGTATAGCAGATGGAACAGATACATCATGAGGATATATTTATGCTAAGTATCTCCCCAGTTTGTTTTGGAAAAGTCTTTTTTTTCCCTTTTTTGTAAAGCTGAGTAGGGCACTGAAGTTTAATGGGTTTCTGGAAAAGAGTTGCAATTTGAATAAAAAAATAAACAGACTTCGCCACTGAGGTTGAAATGTCATGTGCAATGTAAATTCTTGAGAAAGGGTTATTTTTCTTTTCCAGGGACCTAAGCGATGGATGTTTTGGAAGGGCTCCGTGTTCCCTTTGGGAAGCGGAGAGAGAGAAGGCAGCCCTTCAAAGGGAAGATGCGTTCAAAACCAGCCAGTCTCCGTGATGAAAGCACCCCCAGAGGGGGCAGACGGCAGGGGAGGGCCGGCGGAACAGCGAGCTCTCTCTCTCTCTGGTGCCTTTGTGCCCGCAGCAGAGGGCAGCGAGCCCCGCTGGTGGGCTGTGCTCTGGGCCCAGGATCGGAATTTGAAGCCGGTTGACAGCATCGCTGACGCAGGAGACCTCTCCTTTCCCCTCCGTAAGTCCTGTTTGGGTACCACACCCAGGAGGCCCAGGGTTAACAATGTCCATGGAGCAGACAGAGGAAACGGCCTTGGTTCCCTTCCCATTGCTGCCTAGGAGACCCGTCCGAAAACATCACCAGCTCCTTGGTAGTTCTTACCTCCGTATTCGTGTCATTCTCCCGTATTCGTGTCATTCTCCCCAAGTTCCTGGGCCCGGTCCTTCCTGGGGAGCTCGGTCCCTGTCCCTGCCTGCCCACAGGGTGACGATGTCGCAGCCGGGCCAGCCCCTCCCTGTGACCCCCTGTTCTCAGTCTGGGGGAGTTCGCCCGCCACGCAGGGCTTCTCCCGGCCCAGTCCACCGCATGTCCCATGGGCACCGTCACCCCATCCGTGGAGAGACGTGCCCCCTCCCGCGTGAGTGACGCAGCCCTCCGTGCCTGAGGTCACTGGGCTCTCAGGGCCTTGAACTCAAATGGTTTGGGCCCCTCTCCTCTGCACAGTCCAGGATTTGCCGAAGCGACAGAGTGGGCATTGACGAGGCAGAGGGGGAGAGGAAGAGACCCCTTCCCTGTGCGGGGGAGCCAGGTGGGTGATCAGGGATCTGCCTTCCCGCTTTCCTTCTGTTTGCACATCCGCTCTGGGGTCCTGGCACCTTTGGGGGAGGGAGAACAGAAGCCACGCAGGCCTTGGGGTGCGGCTGGCGTGGCCCAGAGCACCTCCAGGGGGCTGGTGGAGGGGGGGACCTAGCAGCTCACCTTGTCTCCGTGCCGTGTCTGCGGGGACACCTGACAAGACGGGCAGCCCTCAGAAAGACCTGACTTGTGCAGCTCGAGGCTTGTTTATCTGACCCACAAGGAAATGCTGCAGCCCACCCCCAGGAGGAAAAAGCCTCCATGCGCGCACCAGCCAGAGCGCTGGGTTCGAGGGTGGGCGGGCAGTCTCTGCTCAGCCGGTGCAGACATCCTGGGTGCTGCTTTGGGGCAGCCCGCCCTGCGTCTGTCTCTCCCGTCCCTGACAGGGCATCTTCCGGGGGGCGTGGGCACCCTCTTCCCTCGCTCCCAGCACCTCTGCAACCTCCCTCGTTTCCTCCTGCAGTTCCTCCGAGGTACGTTCAGTCCCCTCTCCTCTCTCCGGTTCTTTCTCAGCCTGGGAACAGCCTTTATCGGGCGTGTCCTGTTAGCAGGACAAAGATGGAACTGCGCAGAACAGGACAGGCCGTGGTCCCCGGTCCCTGCGTGGCCTTGGCTTTGAGTTTCATCTCCTTGACTGAGATGTGGACCATCCCTGAATGCAAGCCTTGGGAAAGTGCTCATCGCTGACACCCTGTCCCCCGCGCCCCCCCCCCGCCCCCGGCAGCTCCTACTTTTGCATCTTCCGGCCTGCTTGCTCTGCGCTTAGTCAGGAGCACAGAGATTGCATTTGCATTCCCTCGCTTTTGATCTTTGAATGTGGGTGGGAGAGGGGGTGCAGGGTGGAGGGGAGTGAAGGGGGGAAGAGGGGACCACTGTCATAGTATAATCAATAAAATAGATTTAAAAAAACGTAACTCACATTTGCGGCTTGGATTTCGGGACACTCGTATGACGGGCCTGACGCGAGAAGCCCAGGCTGGCGTTACCTTCGGGCTGGCGTGGGCCCCTCCCTGGGTTTGTGCAGTTCCGGGGTCAGAGTGCACAGGGCAACGTGAGCGGCCAATCAGGATTGAGGTGCACAGGGCAAAGACCTGCGCTGATGGGGAAAATCATTTTCCTACCTACGGACCTGGGTTCCACCCAGAGCTTTCGTGCCTGCCGAGGGTGCCGTGCATGGCATTCAGAGGTGACTTCTGGCATGCTCTGGAGACAGGACCCTCAATGAAAATCCCGCCCCCCCCCCCCCAGAAGGGGTCTGGTGACCACGCCGTTCTGCGGGGCCAGGGACCCCGCAGAGACCCCTAGCCAGTGGGGTTTGGAAGAAGCTCTCAGAGCTCGCCGGCCAGGAGTCAAGGTGTGTGAGTCCCATTTCCTCTTTCACTTTTGGTTTTATTGCATCTCATTGGCAAAACGACGGCAGGCAGGGACTTGCGGTGAGGCACGTGTTTGGGGTTCCCTGTCTCCCCGTGGAGTTGGGCTCTGACAGGGAGTCACGCCCCACCTTGGACCTGTGTGTGCCCGCATCTCATTTCCACGTGTCCTGACAGGGTCGTGTTGGTCGCCGTCCATACGGCCTGGCCCCTCCTTGTCGCCGCCCTCCAGGGTTCAAGCAGCGAGGTTATATCGTGACCTCATCGCCCCCGTGCTCGGGGCAGAAATTTCGGGAGGGCTGCTTCTCGGCTTGGCTGTCCGGGAGCCCGGGGTCCCCGGCACAAAGCAACATTCCTGCCTTGCTCGTCTCCTCCGTAGCATATCACTCTGCTCTGCGTTCTCTCGCTTCCCGCAACAAACTTAAATCGCATTCCCCCAGGATCTGTGTTACGGCTCCTTTGCCCCTGAAGTTAGTGTCCCTACACGTTTAGAAGTTAGTGTCCCTTGGTTGGAATCGCTTTGTGTGCTACTTCCCACAGCTCCGGGTCCCATGGTTTCCCGGCAGACGTTAAAAAATGGTGTTTACGAGCTCGCCGCCCACGCTGTTTGTCCCCGAGGCCCCTGTCCTGCGGAATGCGGGCTCCGTTCTCAGCGAGGGGCGCTGTCCCGAGGGGACCCTGGGGGGCCGGGTTCTGAGAGCAAAGTGTGGGGAGGGTGCTGGGCTCACTGGCTACGGAGTGGCGCAGAGCCTTCCCCTGTCCTCAGATGCGCCCTCCGTGGTGGCCAGGGCCAGCCCGCCGGCTGTGAGGGCTCCTTCTGTCCCTGGGTCCGCCAGGGTCTCGGTCGAGGGCCCCCCACAGCCCCCACACCCACCCTGGGTCTCAGGCCTTGCCCTCGGGGCCCGCGCATCACGCTGTCACTGCAGTGTCCGCGAATGTGGCCCATGCCTCTCTCGGCCTTTCTCTTGGGTGGTTCTGCGTCCCTTCATGTGGGTATTTCGGGGCGTTCAGTAATTACGCCACTGCCACCCCAGCTGTGTCTTCCCCAAGGCTCACTGGGGTCTGTAATGACACAGGGACCACCCGTGAAGCTCCTGACCGCAGACGCGGAGACGGTGTTTGAATGCGATGCGTCCGAGCCTCATTCCCAGACGGGCCTCGCTGTCCACTGTGACAGCCCGGAGCTGCGGGAGGCCCTGGGCTCAGGCAGCGCAGACAGCAGGCCTGAAGCGCCGCGGTGGGTGGTGACGGCAGGGTGCGTGGTTCTCTTTGGAAGGGACGCCCTCCCTGGAGCTGTGTGCTGTGGTCCTTCTCTCTGTGGGAGGACAGGGCAGGACCTGAGGGCCCAGCAAGAGACCCCTGTATATCTCTGGTGCGTCCAAAGAGGTGGGGAGGGATGGCGCTGAGCCCTGTGAGTAAGGACTAAGAGCAGCTCCTGAGAGCCCTGACCAGTGTGGCTCAGTGGGTTGGACGTCTTCCTGTACACCCAAAGGTTGCAGGTTCGAGTCCCAGTCAGGGCACATGCCTAGGCTGTGGGTTTGATCCCCGGCCAGGGCCCTTGGCGAGAGGCAACCGATCAAGGATGTTTCTCTCACATCCATGTTTCTCTGTCTCTCTCTCCCTCCCTCCCTTCCCCTCTTTCTGAAAAATAATGTGGGCACAAAGCTATCACTGATAAATGGTCCTTCTGCTCATCATTGGTCAGACCCCTTGTTTCAGGACATGACATACACTGTGTAGGTGTGTGGCACACACCTGTGCGTGTGTTTGGGCAGGGGGTATCTGGTGCCACCGCCGATAATGATGCATTGAAAACTCAGGGCGGGGGGGCTAAGTACCCCTGGCCGTGCCCCACGGCGACAGGGGGACTGAGGGTCCCAGGCCGCCCTTAGCTACGTATGTCACGCAGAGATGGAATGAACTAGAGACTCGGTCTAGCTAGAGGGTGGGCCTGCGGCCGTCTCAGAGAGGACCTGGGGAGAATCCGGGTGACTCTTCTCCCCTGGGGTGCCCTGTGCGTGACTGGGGCTCAGGGGGCCGAGGCGCGGAGGGTGGAGAAACCTTCTGATTGGATGCCTGCGGTGGGGTGGTCCCCCAGAGCCCACCCTCTCTGCTGTGGAAGGACACAGCAGTGAGCACGAGCACGCCCCCACGAGCTGGCCAGGCGGCGGGGGGCGGTTGGTGCACTACAGTCGCCAACGCTCAGGCCCTCGGATGGGGAGTTGCTCATTCTTGCCTGTCTCCTGCTTTCTCCCGTCCTCGCCTGCGTGCGTCCGGGCGGAGGAACACAGGCACGAGAGCAGAAGCGGGTGAGAGAAAACGGGGAAATGACCCGCTTCGGGATGTGAAGGGGGGGTCTCGACACTCTCCCTTTTATGGCTGCTTTTCAGTCACACACACAAGGCTGACTCAGAAGACAGTTTTGTTTGGGGAACACGATGCTCTGTGTCACGTAACTCGCCAGGTCCTACGGCATCAGTTTTGGGGAGCCCAGTGGCAGTGACAACCGGCTAGTTTTTTTTTTTTTAAGATTTTATTTATTTATTTTTAGAGAGGGAAGAGAGAGACAGAAAGAGAGAGAGAGAGAGAAACATCCATGTGCAGTTGCTGAGGGCCGTGGCCTGCAACCCAGGCATGTGCCCTGACTGGGAATCGAACCTTCGATGCTTTGGTTCGCAGCCCGCGCTCAATCCACTGAGCTATACCAGCCAGGCAGCTAGTTGTTTTTTAAAACACTTTTAAACCCGTTTCTAGGGGGACACACATGAGAAGGACACGTCCAGGGAGAACACGGCTTTTCTGCACACGAGACGCCTTTGGGTGCCCGTGTGCACCAGCGCACAGGTGAGGCCCACTGGGTGTGCACTGGGGTGAGCACCCACCGGTGCTGCAACCAGCGTGGGACCCCGCCAGGCAGGTCTCGCGACGTTTGGATGAGGAAGGTTGACGTGCTGGGCCCGGGGCAGACTCAGATCCACACAGGGGCTCGCGTGAAGCTCAGTGCTCTCACCACACACCCCTGCCGCCTTCTGCATGCGTCTCCTGGAACCGTTAGCCAAACCATAAGGCCGTTTCCTGGCGGTGCGGGTCAAGCTCAGCCCCTTCTCTTGTGCTGCCGGCATCTTCTGAGACGGCCTCAGGAGATGCAGGACAGGCGGGGAAGATCGCCTGAGTCTGCAGAGAGAGGAGGACAGAGCTTCAGGGGACTGGCCTGCTGGCCGGGCCCACGGGCACCGGGAGGACGGAGCCTGGCGGGCGGCCTCTGGCTCGGAGCTCTGCTGCCCCCGGCCGGCCCGAAGCCCCCCGGCAACAGCCCCAGAGGAGAGGAGGGGAAAAGCCGGCTGGGCGGGGGAAAGGCCTGGTTTGGGCTGCCCCACCCGCCGATCGAGGCCTGGCCACGCGACCTGTGTTGTTCCGTGTGATTGTACAAAACATGACCCCCGCTGTGGGCAGGGGCGTCTCTGCTCCTCGCACGCTGACTCTGCATTCAAGAGGTGGCGCGCGGACTGAGAAATGGTCCGGGTCACAAGCGGTGCGGCCGGGGCACGAACCCACAGGCCCTGGGGGTGGGGACAGAGGGCGT